TTAAGTATTTTTTTAAAAAATATTTATTCATTTGAGACACAGAGATACAGAGAGAGAGCTCAAGCAGGGGGAGAGGCAGAGGGAGAGGGAGAAGCAGGGAGCCACCCAGGCGCCCCAAGTATTTTTTAATTGAGGGACCCCTGGCTGGCTCAGTTGGTGGGGCATGTGACTTGACCTTGGGGTTGTGAGTTCAAGCCCATGTTGGGTGTAGGGATTACTTAAATAAACAAGGGACGCCTGGGTGGCTCAGTTGGTGAAGCGACTGCCTTCGGCTCAGGTCATGATCGTGGAGTCCCGGGATCGAGTCCCGCATCGGGCTCCCTGCTCGGCGGGGAGTCTGCTTCTCCCTCTGACCCTCCCCCCTCTCATGTGCTCTTTCCTTCTCTGTCTCTCTCATTCTCTTTCAAATAAATAAATAAATCTTTTAAAAAAAAAATAGGGGCACCTGGGTGGCTCAGCCGTTAAGCGTCTGCCTTCGGCTCAGGTTGTGGTCCCGGGGTCCTGGGATCGAGCCCCCCATCGGGCTCCCTGCTCCGCAGGAAGCCTGCTTCTCCCTCTGCCACTCCCCCTGCTTGTGTTCCCTCTCTTGTTGTCTCTCTGTCTCCCTCTCTCTGTCAAATAAATAAAATCTTTGAAAAAATAATAAAAAATAAACCACATCTAATAAATATTTTTGGACTGATACACAAAGTTCCATTAATTCTAAGTGTACAACACAGTGATTCCCCAAGTCTATACACAATGCTGTGCTCCCGGCCTTACCTATTTTATAAGTCTGCCTCCCCTCTAGAAATGTAAGCTCCACGAGGGCAGGGATTTGAAGTTTGATTCATGCTAAATCTCCAAGTCCTAAAGTGCTTAGTACAGAGCAGGTGCTGAATACACAGCTGGTGAACAGATGAATGAACAGCTTTCCTCCTCCTGTAAGTGCTGTGCTGTCTGGGCCTCTCTTAGGTCACACTGTATGGTTTTCTTCTTAGCCCTTTGGCAGCTCTTCTGATTCTGGGCCTTCTCCTTTGCTTGCAGCATTGTCTGCCTGCCAGATTCTCTCTTGCTTCTCTCACCTAGTGACCTGGGTTGACCTCTTCAGAGCCCTACCCCCAGCCCAGATCCACCTAGCTAGCCCCTTTCCCCCTCCATGCCCTTCCACACAGGCCCTGTCTGGGAGCTCTACAGTACTTCTCCCTCCAGCTTTCTGTCTCAACCACTAACTCTTCCATTTATTTTTTCATTTCTTTGAGAAAGAGAGCGAGAGCACGTGCGAGAGAAGCAGAGGGAGAGGGAGAAGCAAGCTCCCTGCTGAGCAGGGCGCCCCATGCAGGGGGCTCGATCTCAGGACCCTGGGATCAGGACCTGAGCTGAAGGCAGCCGCTTAACCCACTGAGCCACCCAGGTGCTCTAACTCTTCCACTTAAATAGCCATGAAATCCAGCCAGTTCCATCTCCTAAGCATCTCTGGAAACAGCCTCCCCTCCAGCCCTATCGGCACCACCCCCACACAGATGCAGGTCTCAGCCAGTCTTGAGTAGCTCGAATCTGAGCCTGTCACTCTCCCACTGAGCACATCCCCATTGCTCCTGATGCCCTGTCTTACCCAGATCCTGAGGGCCTGCCTGCTCTGCCCCTCCACGTTTGCCTCCAGGCTCCAACTTTTCGGCTTGGATTCCTCTTCTCCACTTTCTCCCTCCTGGGAGCCCTCCCAGAACCCGCCAGTGGGGAAAGTGGGCCCCACTTTCCCCACTGCTTCCCCCATCCAGGCCTGGGGCTGCGGGGGCTACTACTGTTCTCTGCCAGCACTCCCGGTCGCGGCCCGGCCAAAATGAATCTTCGCGCCAGAGCACTAACCGTTCTGTCCCTCCATGGCGGCACCTCGGACTAGCGCGGCCCACCGCTGAGCTTCCTGGGGGTTGAGGAAGTGCAGGCTGAGGGTCCCAGGCCCGCCAGGCGGAGGCTGCAGCTCATGCTGGCTGGGGCCTCGGACCGTGTAGGAAACGGACTCCAAGGGCCATTCCAAACTGACCTGAGGAAGGGGAGAGTCCAGGCTCAGCGTCCCCCGCCAGCACACGCTGCATGAGGACCAGAGGAACACGAGGTCACATTTACAGACCACTCACCCTGTCCCGCGCCCTTGCCCCCAAGTTACCTTACGAAACCCTCACCAGACGCCTCTAAGGGCGGGTCGGAGAGCATCTGTCTCCCTTCTACAGACGAGGAAACGGAAGCAAGGGCAAATCAACTGCTCAAGGGCACACAGCCGGCCCGCGGAGGACACCGACCCGGTCCCGCGCCCCCGCCGCCCCCACTCACCGCCCCGGGCCCCGCGCCCAGCAGCTCCAGCCGGAAACGCCCGGGCCGCTCGGGGTCCGCGCTCAGCTGCAGCTTCCGCAGCTGTGCCTCGGCGTCCGGCCCCGCGCCCAGTGGCCTCACCGCGGCGTGCACAGCCAGGAGCACCCCGGCCGAGGCCGGGTCCGAGGGCGGCGCCATCTCCGGTCCGGCCCCGGCCTGGACCCCCAAGCCCGCTTCCGTGGGCTCGGGCCTCTGAGCGCCTCGGCCGGCCGGGAACTGGGGCCGCGAGCCTGGGGTTCCGGCCGTGGCCAGAGCGCCGGAGCCGGGTCTAACCCTCCTGCTTTGCCCAGGATGAGCACGGCCTGGAGGCTCTGCGGGCGGGGGCTGCAGCCCAGCGGTCCGTGTCACCCGGCCGCGCGGGGCCGGAGCTGGGCGCCGCTCCCAGGCTCCTTCCGGCCCGCCCCCCGCCGCCCGCTGGGCTGCCCGGCCCGCCCACCTCGCGTGGGTCAGCCAGCCACTCCCGGGAACGCGGGCTGACACCAGGGGCGGGACGAATGAGGGGCCTCAACCAATGAGCGCCAGGGAAGGAGGAGGGCTCGCACGCGCTGGAAGAGTGACGGACAGGCACCGCAGCCAGTAGAAGTGGAAGAAACGAGTGAATGGCGGGAGACGCTTCCTATGGCTATCCGAGCTCTCGATCCCGGCGGCCGAAGCGGGCCATTCAGGGGCGGGGGGCCGGGCCTTGCGAACGCTTGTTGTTGTCCGGCTCGGGGAGGCAGAGGTCGCTCGCTCGCTCCTTTGCTCGTTCGGGCCTTGGGTGGCGGTCGGCGGGCAGGTCGGTCGCGGTAGTCGGTCGCCGTGCAGGGGCGAGGCTATGTCGCGGTGGCAGCCCGGCAGGGCCGGCAGGGCCGGGAGTAACGGGACGTCGCCGCGGAGCCTCTTCCCCCGGATACAGTGCGGCCCGAAAGGAGGCCGCGGCGCCGCCCTCCGGTCCTGAGGAGCTCGCGCTGCCCGGAGCCCTCACCGCCTTCTTACCCGCGCCGACGTCAACCGGCCCGACCCGGCCCGGCCCGGCCACACCGAGCGCCGCGCAAGCAGGTAGGTGTCCGCCCTGTCCCGGGCGCCGCGTCGGGGCCTCCAGCACTCCAGCCCCCAGCGGCCTCCGCACTGGCGCGCGTGCGCGTCCCGGGACGCACGGCCTCCTGGGATTTGTAGTTCTCCGCGGCTAGCTTGGGGTTTTCCTTAGCCCCCGCGGAGAGGCGGGTGCGGCCAGGCTGACGCTGGAGCGCCTTAGCGGCTGGCCGACGGGCCTTTCGGGGGTCGTGGTACCTGCCTCTGTTCCTTGGTGTCCGAAGAATTAGGCGCACTTGTGGAGAAGAACGGAGAAGCCTATGGGTTTGCTCTCTACCTCCCTAGAGACCCCGTAGAACAGGGGAGAGTGCTGGGTCCAGGTGACCGCAGGGCCCCAGCCCCAGGTGTGCTGGGTCCTAACCCGGTGCAGGTTCTTACTGTAGCTGAGGAGCTTAGCCCGAGGGGGTACTGCAGGAGTCCCGTGCGTCCGAGGGCTTACAGTGACCCCTCCCCCCCACCATGGCGGGTGAGGCTCTTCCCTCCAGATGGACGGGGTCCAGGGAGATAAGCCAGCGAGCCCTAGCATGAGCAGCATCCCTGGTACGCCCCCAGGTATCGGGGCGGGGAGAAGGGGGTTGGCTGAGCTGCAGCCTGGGCTTGCCACTCTCAGGTAAGAGGATCTAATTTCTCTCTCCTGCCAGTGCTGAGGGTTTAGGAGTAAGCTGCAGGAGGGACCCAGCTTGTTTCTAACGGCACCACTTAACTGGGTAGGGAGGCCAAAGGCTGAGCTTTGGGCGCCAGCTACTCAGGGACTGGCCTCCCATCCTCAGGCAGCACTAGCCCCTCCGAGCACAGGACCCCTTCCTCAAGGACATGAAGCTGTTGGAGAACTCGAGCTTCGAGGCCATCAACTCACAGCTGACAGTGGAGACTGGAGATGCCCACATCATCGGCAGGTGAGGCCTGGGCTCCGTGGGCCTCAGAGGTTACGATGTCCTGGCCCAGAGTTGAAGGTCCCCCTCGCACCTTGTAGGATTGAGAGCTACTCGTGTAAGATGGCGGGAGATGACAAGCATATGTTCAAGCAGTTCTGCCAGGAGGGCCAGCCCCACGTGCTAGAGGCACTGTCTCCACCCCAGACCTCAGGCCTCAGCCCCAGCAGGTGAGCCGGGGCAGAGTCGGCCCACGGTGGGCTGTGGGGTGCAGGGCAGTGCTGGGCTGATGCTTTTCTCCGTGCAGACTGAGCAAGAGCCAAGGTGGTGAGGATGAGGGTCCGCTGAGCGACAAGTGCAGCCGCAAGACCCTCTTCTATCTGATTGCCACGCTCAATGAGTCCTTCCGGCCTGACTATGACTTCAGCACAGCCCGAAGCCATGAGTTCAGCAGGGAACCCAGCCTCAGCTGGGTGAGGGTCAGGCTGGGGGGAGGGGCCCACAGCCCCACAGCTGTGCTTACTGTCCTTCCTGACCTGCAGTGGCCCCTGGGCTCAGCCCGGTTCATGCCCTCTGTCCTGCATCCCGAGTCAGTCCCAACTGTGACCATCCTAGGTGGTGAACGCAGTCAACTGCAGTCTGTTCTCGGCAGTACGGGAAGACTTCAAGGCCCTGAAGCCACAGCTCTGGAATGCAGTAGATGAGGAGATCTGCCTGGCCGAATGTGACATCTACAGGTGGGCTGGCACCCCTGCGGGTGGGCCCTGGGCGTGCATGGCACGTGGGCCTTCGTACCACCTCTTGCCCCGCACTCCCCAGTTACAACCCAGACTTGGACTCAGATCCCTTTGGGGAGGATGGCAGCCTCTGGTCCTTCAACTACTTCTTCTACAACAAGCGGCTCAAGCGGATTGTCTTCTTCAGCTGCCGCTCTATCAGGTTGGCCCCTGCCCGCCTCCTTTCCTTTAGCTCCTGTTTGGCCCACACACCATTTCCCCCAGCTGTGCCCCCCCCCGACTTTGTCCTCCCTGGACATTCTCCCTGGGGCCAGCAACTGGCCAGGGATAGGCAGTCCTAAGACCAGTCCCCACACCTCCCCCAGTGGATCCACCTATACCCCGTCGGAGGCAGGCAACGAGCTGGACATGGAGCTGGGGGAGGAGGAGGAGGAGGAAGAGGAGGAGCGCGGAGGTGGAGGCAGTGAGGGCGGACCTGAGGAGACGAGCGCCATGGAGGACAGGTGTGTGACGGTCACTGGAGCCAGGGCTGGGGGGGGCAGTGGGCACCCCTCTGCCTGATCTCCTGGGTGTTGGCTCCTCTAAGCTCACTGTGTGCCCCCTTCTACCCAGGGTCCCGGTGATCTGTATGTGAGGGTGAGGAGCAGAGGCCCCAGCTTCATTCCGCTTCAGCCAGTGCCTGGAACTGCCCACTCGGGGGCCCCAGGGCCTCCCCAGCTGGTGGTCAGCCCCTGGCCCTGCCACGGCTCCAGCGCCGCCCAAGGCCACGCCCACCTAGCCCTTTGGCTCCGGCCTACAGATGTCTACTCACCCTCACAGGCTCCGGCTGCCCGTGTTGTGGTTGGCCTGGACAGCACAGGGCCTGGTGGGAAGGCCACTGCCTGTCCCAGTGAACTGACAAAGACAGGGACAGCTGGACTACAGAGTTTATTTTTGTATTTTGTGCCGGATCAGGAGTGGGCCTGCACACTCCAGCCCAAAGGGTCTGAGATCCAGTCAGCAGGCCCCTGCGGTCACCACCCTGGGCTTGGCCAGCCCCTGGCGCCCACCTGTACCCCCTCTGCCCCCCCCCACCCGCCACCTTGCCCATTGGGCAGCGTGCACTGAGTGTCACTTTGCTGCAGCTGTTTGTTTCCAATAAAAATTTCTGTGACTTAGTGGGGACCTAGGCTCTGTGCTGTGTTGGGGGTGGGGTCTGCGTCGAAGGCGGGGCCTACGGCGTCTGGTAGCCTAGCAACGGTCTTCGGGTCCGTTGAGCCGCCTCGACCTGCAGCCGCTAGAATGGAGACTGAAGACTCAGACGCGAGCAACCCCTATTCAGTAGAAGGCAACAAGTGCCTGGACCCGGACGTGTGTGACGCTGACAGCTGCGACATCCCAGACCCAGGGCTGCTCAAGGAAAAGAACGGTGAGGTGGCCTGGCCTCGCCCCCAGATGCCCACGTGGCTGCAGGCACGTCTTGCTCAGGCAGGAGCTCTGTCTGCTGCCACGCCACACTCCCTGGGCAGTCCCTTAACCCGGCAGGGCCCTCCAGAGAGGGCCTGCCTACAGCCTCCAGAGTTAGGGGTCCAAGACCACACGGTGAGAGTGCTTCTACTGCTGATCTGCAGAGGTGCTTTCGGAGCCAGTCCCACGGCTTTTTACCAGCAGCTCCCGGTGGCAGAACATGACCCCACGTGCCCGTGCCCACCAGCTGTGGCTGTTCCTACGTGCGGGCCTCCATGACTTTGTAGAAAAGGTGGGGCTTGCCTGTGGGCCCTGCACTGAGGCCTCTTCTGGCCCATCTCTTCCCCTAGGTGTCCCTAGTATGCCCCCAGCCCAGATCCCCTTGGCTCCCCTGGGCAGGTGCACTACCTCTCCAGCCCCCCCCCCCCGCCCCCACCCCCCAGCTGACTGCAGGCCTGTTCATCCTGGCCCACAGGAAAAGAGAGGTGAGCTGTGTGTGGCACGCTTGACCCATGGGCTGGAGCCGCTGCGCCACCTGAAAGTGGCAGCTGGGCTGTGCTCAGTGGCCCAGGACCCAGTGGGCAGACGCTTTGTGGTGCTCGATGGTGCAGGCCACCTGCACGTGCACAGAGAGGACGGATGGGCATACGAGAAGCTACAGGCCCCAGCCGTGCTCACGGGGCTGGTGGCAGTGCCGGGCCCGCTGGATGCTGTGAGCCGCTTTGTGGGTTGGGGCCCCAAGGGGCTGGCCATCCTAAGGCCTGACCTCAGCCTGCTGTGGCTGAGCAAGCCAGGGGTGGGCAGGGTGCCAGGCCACGAGCCCCTCTGCTGTCTGCCGGTACCCAGCCTGGGGCTGTTGCTAGTGGCAGGGGCAGGTGGCAGCCTTGTGCTCTGGAAGTTCTGTTCAGGGGGTCGCCGCCTGGTGCCATGTGGGTCACCTCTGCAGCTGCCACCAAGCCCTACAGGTACACTCACCCGTTTGGTTCTGGGGCCCCTGCAGTCCCACCAAGTCCCACGCTGCTTCGCGGCCTATGGCTCCGCTGTACTCACCTTTGATCTGCACACCTGGGCCCTCGTAGACGTGCGCCGGGACCTGCACAAAACGTGAGGGGGCGCCTAAGGACCGGGAGAAAGGGAGGGTGGCAGGGAGAGGCAAATCCAGGAGGGCAAGCGGGTCATGGCAGGGGCGCAGGGGCTCACACACTGGGAGGCACAGAGTCTGCCAGGGCCGCCTCCTCCCCTTCAGCGCTATCTTGGACTTGGCCTACTGCCTAGAGGTAGAGGCCATGGTGACAGCCTCGCGCGACAGCACGGTGAAGGTGTGGGAGGCTGACTGGCGGATCCGGATGGTGTTCATGGGCCACACAGGTGCGCCATGCCACTGAGGCCCATTCCCTCTCCACCCTGTGCACGGCCCACGGGAAAGAGCTCTGGGCTCTGGCCAAGCTTCTCTGCACTGGCTGCACCCCGGGCTGACGGCTCCCCTTTCCCAGCCCCCGGGGGAGCCCGAGTGACCCATGTCCCTCCCACAGGCCCGGTGACAGCTCTGGCTGTGCTCCCGAACACGTCCCTGGTACTGTCGGCCTCGCAGGACGGGACGCTGCGCACCTGGGACCTGCAGGCGGCAGCACAGGTGGGCGAGGTGGCGCTGAACTGCTGGGGCCCAGACGTGGCGTCTGGGCGCGTGAACCGCCTGCTGGCGCCCGCGGGCCCCAGCTGGCCGGTGCTCTCCCTGAGCGCCAGCAGCGTGGAGCTGTGGCGCCTTCGCGAGCTGTACTCGCCGCTGGCGCAACTGTCTGCCCCAGTGCTTCACGTGCAGGTGGTGCCTGCGCTGTCCGCACCCCCGCACCCGCTCCTGCCGGCGCGCCTCGTGTGCGCCTGCGCCGACGGCTCGGTCTACCTGGTGTCGGTCGCCACTGGGCGCACCGTGAGCGCGCTGCTGCTCGAGCCCGATGACTGCGCAGCCTCAGTGCTTTATTGCCTGCCGCGCGAAGCACTGTGGCTGCTGACACGCACCGGACAGCTGGTGTGTGCCAGCGCGGCGCGCTGCCCCATGCGCGTGCTGCACCGCGTGTGCCCGCCCCCCGCGCCTGCGCCCAGGCCCTGCTGCCTGCACCTCTACAGCCACCTCACAGACCCCGGCAGCGCGTTTGCCGGCTGGGAGACCGTGTGCCAGCATGGGGGGGAGCCGTGCCGGAGCGACGCAGCCCGGGCCTGGAAGGACAAGAACCGGTGGGCACCGGGGGCGCCTGGGTGGCTCAGTCGTTAAGCGTCTGCCTTCGGCTCAGGTCATGGTCCCAGGGTCCTGGGATCGAGCCCCGCATCGGGCTCCCTGCTCCGCGGGAAGCCTGCTGCTCCCTCTCCCACTCCCCCTGCTTGTGTTCCCTCTCTCGCTGTGTCTCTCTCTGTCAAATAAATAAACAAAATCTTAAAAAAAAAAAAAAGAACCGGTGGGTACCGGAGCCAGACGGTGGGGGCGGGGCGACGGTGCCCGAGCCCACAGGCTGATGTCCTGCACAGGTACCTGCCCGTGGTGGGGCACACGGATGGCACCCTGTCAGTCCTGGAGTGGCGCTGGTCGAAGACCGTCTTCCAAACCGAGGCACACAGCCCGGGCCCCGTCACCGCCATAGCGTCTACCTGGAACAGCATCGTGTCTTCCGGTCCATATCTCCCCTCCCCCCCGTAGATGGCCTGGGAATGCCTTCCCTGCCCCACAAAGGCCCAGCCCTGGCTCCCGCCCCTGCAGGCGGAGACTTGACAGTGAAGATGTGGCGCGTCTACCCCTATGCGGAGGAGAGCCTGAGCCTGCTGCGCACCTTCTCCTGCGGCCACCCTGCCGTGGGGCTCTGTGCACTTGGGAAGCGGATCACGGTGGGCTTCGAGGATCCGGACAGCGCCACCTATGGCTTGGTGCAGTTTGGCCTGGGCGACAGCCCCCGCTATGATCACAGGTCCCAGGATGACCCCACGGACCACATCACTGGTGAGGGGGCAGGGCAGAAGTAAAGCCCGAGGCGCCACATGGCCCTGGTCCCTCACCTGAGCCTTGTCCCTCAGGCCTGTGCTGCTGTCCCACGCTCAAGCTGTATGCCTGCTCCAGCCTGGACTGCACCGTCCGCATCTGGACGGCGGAAAACCGCCTGCTGCGGTGGGCTGGGGCTGGGGCTGGGGCTGGGAAGGAGGGAGTGAGGGGTTGGGAGCGTGTGGGTGGCACGCGGGCTCTCCTACCTCTACCCCGGCCAGAGCCTACAGTCTGGACAGGGGAACAGGGCCTTGCCCCTGCTAGGGCTTCAGCTTCCTACTTTGTGGAGCAAGGCTGGACTTTGGCCTTCCACACCCCTCCAGGCTCCTGCAGCTGAATGGTGCCCCACAGGGCCTGACCTTCAGCAGCAACAGTGGGGACCTGGTGTTGGCTCTGGGCTCCCGACTCTGCCTGGTCTCTCATAGGCTCTACCTGCCCACATCCTACCTGGTTAAGGTACACAGTGAGCACAGGATGGTGTTGGGGGGTGTTCCTGTGGGTGGACAAGCCTCCTGAGGCCAGGGCTATAGGTTCCTTTCTCCTGTTCAGAAGCTGTGCCAGAAGGTCCCTGATGTGGTGGATGACCCTCTACTACCACTGACCAGCCAGGAGTCGCGGACCTCAGCCCAGCTGCAGAGGCTCGCCAATCTCCATGGGGTGGCCAGTCTTAGGTCTGCTGGCAGGCCCAGCTGAGCTGTCCTGGAGGCCCCTGCCCAGCTCCCCTGAGTCAGGGCCTGGCTGGGTGACCCCAAGCACAAGGCCCCAGAGCTCCCAGGCCACATAGGCCACCCCAATCCCCGATCCCAGCTCTGGCATCCCTCCTCCTGCCAGAGGCCTGGCCACCCCCACCCCCAGGTCCTTGCCCCAGCATCTGCCCAATCCCACCAGTGATGACACCAGTGTCCCACCTGTGCCCATCCTTGTCTGCAGCACAGACTTGTCTTTCATCCATCGCCAGACGGCAACACCTCAGCAGCCAGTGTTGGAGGAGGTGGGGTGGGTCCTGACCCCTCAACACCCCAAAGCCCCAACCCTGCACCTGGCCCAGGCCCAGGCCACTCCCGTTCAGTCGTCGGGAGAGGCCTGGGGTCCCTGTGGTTGTCTGGGAAGCACGTGGCAAGACTGAAGGAGGAATGAGCTGACCCCTGACCCCTCCCCCAGGACTTGGAAGCCCTAGTTGCCCGGGATCAAGACCTTCAGCAGCTGAGTCTGGGGCTGGTGGTCCCGACAGCCCAGCCCCCACCCTCCCAGCACGAGCGGCAGGAGGCGTTTGACAACTACTTGCACCTGATCTATGGCCCTGGCTTGCTGGTGGGTGTGAGGCCTCCCCCAGCCTCAGCCTTGACTCCAGCCCCTCCCTCCGCCCAGGGCCTCCCACACTGCCCATCTCCACTGCATCCCTCCCAGGACGTGCCTTCTGGAAGAGAGTTCCAGCGGTGGAGTACCGTGACCCTCACCGCGGAGAGAGAGACCTGGGACGTGTGCACCTTACACAGAGCTGCCAACTGTCTTTGGAAGGCCAGAGTCTGCCCTGAAGTCCCGACAGTGCCCGCAGCCCTCCCCCAACAGGACCCGGGAGCTGTGGGCCAGCGCTTTGTCCACCCTCCCCGAGTCCCCTTGCCTATCCCACCCATACGCCGGGGGGTGCACAGCAAGGCATCCCAGGTAAGGCCTCCCACCCCTCCCACCTCTGCCCCGGCCCCATGAGCCTGCGGCCACCCGGTGACAGACGTCTCCCTCACCCCAGCTGCTGGCCCGCTCCTCCCTGAGCAGTAACCTGGGCCTCAGTCTGGACCTGCAGCTGCATTTGGAGCGGCTCCGAGGGGAGAAGCCTGTGGTCCCAGGCCCACCGGCCCTCCACCTGCAACACGGGGTGAGGGGCAGGCGGTGCTGCCTACCCAAGAGCAGGGCTGCAGGGGCGCTGAGGGTCCGTGCTTGGCTCTGAGCCCTTCTCCTGCCCTCAGGACCCCCTCTTGATGAAGAGGCGGCCCAAGGAGCCTCTTTCCAACCTCCGAGGCTTCTTTCCTACCAGCATTCAGCCCTGCAAGGTGAGAGCCCCTCGCTCTTCCCGGAGGCGCCCCCCCGGAGGTGTTTGTCACCGGGGCAACCTTATGTCCCCCCCCACATCTTCCCTTTGCGCAAATCTTGTGCTGAAGTCTGACCTGAGAGCCACGCCCGCCCACAGCCTTCCACCCACCTCCTGGCCAGCCCTGTCCTCTGGGGGCCAGCTGCCAGAGAGCCAGAGATTCCTGGGGGGGACACCAGGCCAAGCCAGAGCCTCTGCCCCCTGGTTGTGCCTACATACCTCCTCCCCAGTTCAAGTGCTGGGTGGGTCCTGTATGGACTTGGGAAGATCAGAGTCCTCTCCCTTTAGCGGCGTGAAGCTAACGGGGGCTGGCCCCTTGCAATCTACCACCTTCCCAACCTCTCTCGCCCCAGACACCCAGATAAGCCTCTCTCCAAGCATATTCCGGCACTGTCAGCAGCCCAGACGTCCTCCTCAGTCATCACAGCTGATGTCTCACTGACTGCCCTTCCGCCTGATTTCTAAAGCTTTTTTTTTTTTTTTTTTTGCCTGTCTGTGTGTTTTGGGTGTCAACTGAGAAAAGAGGCAGAACTGAAATAAAACAAAAGCATTTACTTGGGGTCTTAGAATTGCAGTTTGGGGAGCACAGATTTGGTAGCAACCCAGATCGAATCTTGCTGAGGAGTAAAAGCCAGGTGACTGTCTTGGCAAGTTGCAGGAGCACTAGGAAACTTACACCAGTTATGGGAAAATGTAATTAAATTGTACACTTCACTGGTTTTCTGAGCACTTTAGTTTGGTTACAGGAAAAATAGTTTTTGCAGAGTGTCCACTTTTTTTTTTTAGGATTTTACTTTTAAGCAATTTCTACACCCAATGTGGGGCCCGAACCCACAACCCTGAGATCAGGAGTTGTGTGCTCCACGAACTGAGCCTGCCAGGGGCTCTGCAGAGTGTCCACTTTTTTTTTTTTTTTTTGGTCAAGAACGCAGGGGCAGCAGTCCTATGTTCAGTCTTGGCCCAGTTCCATATAATTCCTCTTTCAAAAACGGGATGAAGTTTTAGTTCCCAGTCTCTGATGTTAGGAGGTTTAACCCACGTTGGCTCCGACAGGGGGTGTGAGCCCCGGCCGGAGCAGGCGGGCCGGGGCGGGGCTGGCGCTGGGGCTGCTCTGCCAGGTGGTCTCTGGGGTGGGGTGGCGTTCAGGTCTCAGCGCCCGTGCTGTGTGCCACCCCAGGACTTGCAGCGGCGGGTCAGCTTCCCCGGCAGCGTGCCCAACTCGGTGGTGCTGCAGCAGATGTGGCTTCACCGGGAGGTCAGCAGCCTCGGAGCCCTCGCCCAGCACACTAGCCGCAGAAGCAAGGCAAGGGGGCCCTGGGGGGCCTCGTCCTCGGGCTCTGCAGGAGGGGGTCTGCGGTCCCCGCAGCGCAGTGTGCCAGCGACCGCCTGTGCTCTCCCCTGTGCAGCCAGGAAGGCGCCAGGATGACCTGTGGCTGCCGCGGCGCATCGGGTGGCGCACGGCCAGGTGGCAGCAGAAGCTGACCGGGTGGTTGGGGGAAGAGGAGGAGGAGGAGGAGGAGGGGCAGCGGTATGTGGACTGGTCCTCAGATACCCTGAGCCCACCTACGCAGCTCTCCGAGTCCGAGGAGACGGAGGCTCAGGTAGGCGCCTGCTAGGGGCTGGGCTGCCGAGCGCGGCGCGGGGTGGAGAGGAGGGGCCTGCAGCTGCTGCCGCTCCCGCAGGACTCCGAGTATTTGACCCCGAAGCGCGCGCACTCTCGCACCGCCACCAGGCCTGAGACCTGCTTTCTCCACCCCGGGCACCCCCACGGGCACTCGCTCTGGGAAGAGCGCTACGGGCATCTGCCCAGGTTCCTGCATTTTTTCGTCGGCCAGAACTGGTTCAAAAAGCTGTTCCCCATCTTCACCTTGGAGGTTCGGGGGTCTCGGGCACCTGGGAAGCCCAGGCTGGCGGGAGGGGGGGGGGGGGCAGGGCCTCAGCACGCGGTACCCGCAGGCCTACCCCGAGGTGAGCACGGTGGAGGGCCTGGCCTCACTGTTCGTGGACCTGCTGTACGAGGCCTCTTGGGCAGACGGCGTGCACATCTTGAAAGCGCTGCTGAGGCTGCTGCCCGACACGAGCAGAGACCTTCGTAACCAGCTGCAGGGCGTCCTCGTGCGCCTGCTCAACCTGGACCAGCCCCCCAGCCTCGAGGTGCACCGCTAGCCCCGCCCCCAGCCCCGCCCCACCGGCCTGCCCAGGGCCTTGCGCTCCCCACTCGACGCGCGTGGCTCTTGTGCCCTCAGGACCAGACGCAGAAGCAGTTCGTGATGCTGGCGCTTCAGCTGCTCCTGGCCGGCTCCCTGCAGTCCCGCGAGGTGGTGCTGGAACTCATGTCGTACTTCCTCTACTCGCCTGCCTCCCGCCGGTGGGTCTTTGCTCCCTACTCGTCCTCCCCGCTAGTGGGGGCGGCGGGGGGAGGCCTCTGGATCAGCTGCTCACACCTGTCCCAGGCCCGAGCTCAGGAAACTGCTGGATGGGCTGGGCCTTCAGGATCCGCAGGGCTTCCTGTTCAAGGAGATGATGACCTGGGTCCAGGGCCCGGACGCAGGCTCCAAGGCTGCCCTGCGCAAATGCTGCTGCCAGAAGCTGGAGGAAATGATCCAGAGGTTGCAGGTCCTGGGGGGCAGGGGTGGGGTAGGCTGCTTGCAGTGGAACCTCCTGTCTTGCCCACACCCCGCCCCCCCAGGCTTTCCCTAGGTCTTTGAGGGGAGGGGCGGGGGATCCAGGTGAGGCTGGCCGGCTCTTTGCCTTGCTCTGTATCTGTGCCTCATGGGTCCTCTTCTGTCTCCCAACCCCCCATTTCTGGGGATCATCCTGCTCCTCCCCAGGAAGGAGTCTGCAGCCAGATCTCAGGCTTGGGGCCAGGGGCAGCCTCTGCCTTGGGCTTGGGGGCACTGTCCACTGGCTGCTTCCTCCACAGACGGAGCACTTGCAGCCTTCCGTGGCCAAGTTGTCCGAGATGCTGCCCAAGGTCTCCCAGACCTCGGTGTTTCCATCTCCTCCCAAGGAGACCCTGTCGCGGATTTCAGTGCTCGCTGGGTCACCTCATGTCTCAAGGGCACCCTCAGTCCGTTCCTGGGTACCCTCCCTTGTGGTCTCACCCGGGGAGCGGAACTTGGCTGTCCTTGAGTCCGGAGCCAAGCCGACGCCTTCACCAACGCATCTCCGGCGGAGCAAACACGCGCTGTCTGAGGCGCCGCTGCACTTCTGCCCCTCCGAGGTCCACGCGCCCTCCTCAGCACCCGCCGCGCTGCTGGAAGAGTCGCTGCCACTGGCGCAGACGGACTGGTCCCGGTCACAGATGCTGGACCTGGGGCCAATCGATGCGCTCAACTTCTTTTGCGAACAGCAGCGAGCACGGCTCGAGCAAGGTTTCCCGCAGGAGGAGCTCGAGACACTGCGCCTGAGCCCACGCCCACCCGAGTCCAACACCGTACTGCCCCAGCCCCGGGATCGCTGGTGAGGGGGCCCCCAGGCTGGGACGGGGCCGGTGGGGGGCAGTTGAGGGCCTGGCTGGGCCAAACCTACTCCTTACCCCTCCAGGCACTATCCCATCCTCCGGCTTCAGGAGGCCAAGGTCCAGAGGTCTCCGATGAGACTGAGGGGTGAGTGGGGACAGGGGTAGAATTGGGCCCCGACTTCTACCTCCACCGTAGCCGGGGTCCCAGTGGGCCTCGACCCCACCCTGAGACCTCACTGACCTGCTGGCCCGCAGGCTGGATGCGGTCCCGGCTCTGGGTGGGCCATACCCTCAGTGGCTCCATCCGGATGCTGAAGCTGCCGCTGCCGAGGGTAGAAGTTCAGCCTTTCCCCCCGGACTGGCCCAGGCCTGCCCGTCCGCTGCCCCCACGGCTCCTGCAACCCACCTTGCAGCGCTACTTTCTGCCAGATTATACAGAGACCCTGACAGCTACAGCTGACCAGACTGGTGGCCCCAGTCTCTTCTTCCCTCCAGCATGGAGTCAAGATGTGGCTCTCCAGCCAGCTGTTCTCCCCTGGAAATAAAGTCCAGAGGCCATGGCCAGAAAAAAAGGGTGCCACCTTCATCTTTGGGGACTGCAAGTGTGAGCAGGGCAGTCTCAATGGTGTGATGAATCTGCCAGTGGCCAGTTGCAGGGCAGGAGCTGGGGGCATGGTGGAATCTGGCATGGTCAGCACTTGGTGGAGCAGCATTCCTGGTGGGGGTGGGTCTGTCTGCCAGGAGCCGGACCCATCGCATGGGCATGTCCCTGCTCAGGCACTCAGCCTGTGTTTATCAATAAATTACTGGGGTCAAGATGGGAGTGGGGACTCCTGGGCCAGTGAATGGCCAAGCATGGAGGGACTGGGAGGGTCCACACACACATCTGTGTGTGTGTGTGTGTGTGTGTGTATTGAGTGGGGTGGAGGGCCTGCAGACTTCAAACCAGAGTCTACCCTTGGGCTGGAAGGGAGAAGAATTGATGGAGTCCCATGTGCTTTATTCAAGTAGCAATAAAGGGGCAACACCCTTTGGACCCTTCTATCTAAAAATTGCCACGGGGCGCCTGGGTGGCTCAGTTGGTTGAGCGACTGCCTTCGGCTCAGGTCATGATCCTGGAGTCCCGGGATCGAGTCCCGCATGGGGCTCCCTGCTCAGCGGGGAGTCTGCTTCTCCCTCTGACCCTCTTCCCTCTCGTGCTATCTCTCATTCTCTCTCTCTCTAATAAATAAATTTAAAAAGTTAAAAAAAATAAAAAATAAAAATTGCCACGAGACCGAACTTGTATGTGAAGTGCAGGGTCTCAGAGGCCTTGGCTTCCTTCTGAGCTGTCAGGACCTCCCAGGGCACTGGTCCCACAGCTTGTGGGGCACACGGCCCATGTGTTCACTTGCTATTAGGTCTGCCTTTGTTTTGTTTTTTAAAGATTTATCTATTTCTTAGAGAGAGCACAAGTGGGAGGGGCAGAGGGAGGGGGAGAAAGAATCTGTAGCAGACTCTGCCCCAGCCCAGAGTCCAACATGGGGCTCGATCCCATGACCCTGTGATCACAACCTGAGCAGAAACCAAGAGTCGGATGCTTGACTGACTGAGCCACCCAGGTGCCCTGGGTCTGCCTTTGTCAAGGGTTGTTCTAGCTTTTACATCCTCCTTTTGGGTCATTGAACAGCAGTTTCTTCCCTCTGAATGTGTTCAGCCTCCAACTTTAGACGTTTTTTTCTCAATGGTGTTCTGGATAGAATTTGTCTCTCATACCCTCTCCACAACCCACAAACTGTGCCAGGGTTCTTGTCAAGGGGCTGTGGAGAGGGTGGCCCTTTCCTAGGCCAAGTAGGGCAAGAATTGCCAGGTCTGGAGAACCAAAGACATGACATTTGTATAAAAGGATCCGTGCCTGCTAAAACAAGGACTGTGGGGCCCATAGTAGTCTGCTTCTATGGGTGTTTCCTTTAAATTATAAAAGCAATAAATTCTTTTAAAATTACCAACATCAGAGGGGCACCTAGCTGGCTAAGTCGGTGGAGTGTGCGAATCTTGATCTCAAGGTCGTGAGTTCAAGCCCCATGTTGGGCATAGAGTTTACTTAAATCAAAGTAAATTAAAAATAGATAAAAATATATTTAAAAAATATCAACATGAGAAAGTGGGGCAAATTTAAACAAGTTTAAAAAATTAATTATAAAGGGAAACGGTATATATTAATACATATTAATATATAATTATCTTAAAATTAAGAAATCTATTCATCTATACCATTCAGAGAATAAAAAGGCCAGAGTGGGAGGAGATATCTGTAATACGTGTAACTATAAACGACTCATCTCCAAAATACATAAAGAGGGCACCTGGGTGGCTCAGTCGTTAAGCGTCTGCCTTCGGCTCAGGTCATGGTCCCGGGGTCCTGGGATCGAGCCCCGCATCAGGCTCCCTGCCCGGTGGGAAGCCTGCTTCTCCCTCTCCCACTCCCCCTGCTTGTGTTCCCTCTCTCGCTGTGTCTCTCTCTGTCAAATAAATAAAAATAAAGTCTTTAAAAAAAAAACAAAATACATAAAGAACTTCAACGAATCAATTAACAGTAAAAAAAATCACACAACCCAACAGAAAAAAATGTACAAAAAACTGGAATGAAATTTTCACTGTAGAAGAAATCAAAATCACAAATACATGTATTCCCTTCACTTCCTAACCGAGTTAGGCCTTAATGAGTTACCCAGTTCTCTGAGCCTTGGTTTCCCATGTATGAAATGGGGATGATGATGCGCAGAGGCTGCGCAGGACTGCTGTCAGAATTAAATGAACTTTATATCTAACACACTTAGGAATAATGCCTAGCACAGATTATGTAGATAGAAAACAAAGTCAGACCCCCCCTTTTTTTTAAAGATTTTATTTGTCAGAGAGAGAAGAGAGAGCACAAGCAAGGGGAGGGGCAGAGGCAGAGGGAGAAGCAGGCTCCCCTCCGAGCTGAAAGCATTCGCTTAACCAACTGAGCCACCCAGGTGTCCCTAGATCCCTTTCTCACATCATTTACAAAAGTAATGTTCAGATGATTTGAAGATTGCAATGTAGAAACTGAAACTATAAATATATCAAAAGGTAATTTAGAAAAATATTCACTCAGAATACTCAGAAGGAAAAGATAGACATATTTGCAGATTTAAAAAAAAAATTATGGCAAAGGGTGCCTAGGTGGCCTCGTCGGTTAAGCGTCTGCTTTCCACTTGGGTCATGGTCCCAGGGTCCTGGGATCGAGTCCCGCACTGGGCTTCCTGCTCAGCAGGGAGCCTGCTTCTCCCTCTCCCTTTGCCCCTCTCCCCTGCTCATGCTTTCCCTCTCTCTCTCAAATAAAATCTTAAAAATTTATGGCAAAAGAGACCATAAAATTAGGAACAAACCTCAAAGTGAATTGTATATTTAAATGTAAAACTAGGAAAAATTGAGAAGGAAATACAAAAGATCTTCTGGATGAGCAACTGATGAAGTATTCTCAGACATGATGCCCAAAACACCATATATGAAAGAAATCAGAAAGTTGGACTTTATCAAATTTTAAACCTTCTGCTCTGTGAAGGGCCCTGTTAGCAGGATGGGAAGACAAGCCATGACCAGGAGAAAATGCCTGCAAATGGCCTGTCCACAAAGAACATCTAGCCAGAATGAAAAAAAAAAAAAAAAAAAACAGCTTTCAAAATTAACGGTAGAAACCAAACAATCCCACTAGAAAATGGGCAAAAGAAGCAGACATTTCACCAAAGAGGAGATGCTCCATATCACTAGCCATTAGAGAAACGCAAATTAGTACCTAAAATAAAAAGAGTTGACATCACCAAATGCTGGTGAATATTTGGAGCAACTGGGTCTCCATACTTGCTTGTGGGAATGCAAAATGGTCCACACACTCTGGAAAACCATTCAGCAGTTTCTCAAAAACTGAACATACCAGGACCTACAATCCAGCAGTCATACCTACAACTTAGCATTTATCCCAGAGGAATGAAGATTTGTGTCCATACAAAAACGTGGACACCAGTGCTTTACAGCAGATTTATTTGTAATAGCCTCACCCTGGAAATGACACAAAGGTCCTTCAACAGGCAAATGGCTACTGCACTGGCACATGCACACCCAGGGGTACTCCGAGGCCATAAAAATAAAATGTTTGACACGCGTGATGACCTCCAGGGGTCATGTGTGTGTGATTCCATTTCCGTCACACTTGTGAAGTGACAGAATTACAGAGAGGAAGAACACGTTTGTGGTTCCCCGGGGGAGGGCTGGGAGCACGCGGGGCACAAGGAGGTCTTCGTGGCAGTGACACTGCCCCCTATTTTGACGGCCACATTGGTTCCATGAGTCTCCACAGGTGATAAAGTGGCATAAAACTACACACACTCCTTGGTTTTTGACGTCGTTACAGCTGCACAAGGTGTATTGTTGAGGTTCCTAGAAGAGAGAAGTCTATTTAGAAAGTAGATTAGAGGTCATTGGAGGGAGGAGAGAGGGAGAAATGCATGCTTAAAGGTTACAGTTTCTGTTGGGTGGTGAAAACAATTTGGAAATACATGGTGATGGTTGCACAGCATTGTGAGTACAACGAATGCTACTAATTGTACACTTAAAAATGGTTTAGGCGCCTTGGCTGTGGCTCAGTTGGTGAAGCACACGACTCTTGATCTTGGGGTCATGAGCTCAAGTCCCATCTTGGGTGTAGAGCCTACTTAAAAAATGGTTTAAATGGCCAATTTTGTGATATGCATTTTACTACCGTTTACAAAATCTTGTAATATACAAAAAACCATTGAATTTATTTTTTTAAAAGATTTTTTACTTTATTTGACAGAGAGAGACACAGCGAGAGAGGGAACACCAGCAGGGGGAGTGGGGGAGGGAGAAGCAGGCTTCCCGCCGAGCAGGGAGCCCGATGCGGGGCTGGATCCCAGGACCCCGGGATCATCACCTGAGCCGAAGGCAGACGCTTAACGACTGAGCCACGCAGGCGCCCCTCAATAAAGCTATTTAAAATAATACCACAGGAGGGGCGCCTGGGTGGCTGAGTCGGTTGAGTGCCCGACTCTTAGTTTCTGTTGGGGTCATGAGCTCTCAGTGGTCTGACTGAGCCACATCAGGCTCCATGCTCAGCGCAGAGTCTGTTTCAGATCCTCTCCCGCTCTCTTTCTCCGCCCCTCCCTGCCCCTTTCTCTGATTTGCACTCTTCTCCCTCTTCTCGAAGTAAAATCTTAAAAAATAAAATAAATAATACACAGGACCATCCCTGAAGGTCCTTCCAATGGCCAAATTTTGGATCACAATAATGAGAGTAAAGTGTTCTATTTCTTTGAATAAAGTAAGACTCCATGAGGGGCACCTGGCTGGACTGGAAGTACGAGTGACTCGATCTCGGGGTCATGAGCTCGAGCTCCACACGGGGTGTGGAGATTACTTCAATAAATTTACTTTAAAAACACTAATAAATAAGACTCCATGAGTCTTCATTGACATAAACAAATAAATGAACAAAAATAGGTAAAGAGAAAGCTTTCTGCCCTACAATAAACAATTAAAAACTACATGCAAAAACTAGTGAGTGAAAGGTGGACGAGGAATGGACTATTTACATAGTCTCAAAGTATTTCCCCATGAAACATTTACTAAATACAAAGAGAAAAAGAGTAACCTAACAGTGAAGGATCCTGGGCAATTCACCTTAAGTAATCAAAATAAGCATCTCCACTGTAGGAGCAAAAACTGATGGGACTCAACGAAAAGAGCTCGGCCTCACCTCCGTAGTATTCCTTTTTTTTTTTTAAAGATTTATTTATTTATTTGAGAGAGGGCACGAGCAGAGGGAGGGGCAGACCTCCCACTGAGCAGGGAGCCTGATGTGGGGCTGCATCCCCGGACCCTGAGCTCATGACCTGAGCTGAAGGCAGACATGTAATCGGCCAAACCACCTAGGCGCTTGCCCCTGCCAAAAAATATATAACCTGAGTCTAATCATGAGGCAACCAGACAAAAACTGAGCAACAAGCTACAAAAGAGCTGGCTGGTATTCTGCAAGTGTCAAGGGCATGAAAGTTAGAGCCTGAAGAGTAGCTACCAGTTGAAGGAGACTGAAAGTACTCGGGAGAGCACCCTCTGCTAAAAGGTCATTATTGGGATGAGTGGGGTAACTTAGGAATTTGAGGTGTCTGAGGCAAAGGACGTTCTTTGTACAATTCGTGTAACTTGAACTTTGAAATTACTTCCAGTGACTTTGTATCTTTTAATTTATCTTGGAAATATTTAAGGCTCCATACCTGGTGATTACCGCAAACGCTTCCTTGAATCAGTCAAAGCAAGTGCTTGCTGGTTCGCCTCTGGACACCAGTGGGCTCTGAAGGTGCACACTTTTGTCTCAGGCAGACGTACCCACCAGATGCACCAGAGGGCATCAATTACCTACATTACCCATAATATCCCGACTCCATTTCTTGAGAAATTTTCAGCTCTTATGGGCAGGATCTGTGTATCAGAGCATGTGGTTTCCTTGGAGAGGTGGGCATTTCCTTGGACTTGTCTACCCTCTTCCTCAATTTCAGGCAAGTGGCTTTCACACAAGGTTAGGTTGGGACTGAGGCTATGAGGTGCCCGTAGGTCTCACCTGGGGGCAAATCCCGGCTCTAGGACCTGATTACCTGCTGACTTCAGGGGCATGCTATTCCCTCTCAATGGCTCTCCTGGGCATCACTGTCCCTACAGGCTTTGTTCTAGCCCTTAGAGTGAAATAAAAATATCAGTCTACTAAAGGGCTATTAACCTATGCAGAAGCACATAACATAATCCGTGAGGCAAGGAACAGATGAGGGCAAAATCTTGTATTAGAAAATGTCTCAAATCAATGATCTCAGCCTTTACCTTAAAGAATCTAGAAAAAGAACAGCACATTAAACCCAGAATAAGCAGAAGAAAGGAAATAGTAAGGTCAATGGGGACATTCACTCAATCAAAAAAGAAAACAGAGAAAATATATGAATCCCACATGATTCTTTAGTAAGGTCAGTAAAATGGACAAAACTCTGGCAAGACAAGTCAAAAACGGACAGCATCAGGGATGAGAAGTGACACTACTACAGATGGTACAGATGTTAAAAGGATAAGGGAAGATTATGAACAACTTGATGCCAATGAATTTGACACTTTAAATTTTCATCTAAACCAATTTCATCTGAACCAATTCCTTGAAAAACACAAACTACCAGAAGTCACTCAAGAAGAAAGTGGCAACCTGAAGAGCTATGTGTCTATTAAAGGATTGGTGGTCGCAAAATCTTTCTGGAAGGAAATTTCAGGCGCAGATGGCTTCACTGGGTATTGCTACCAACCACTTACGGAAGAAATACTAGTTTCACAAACTCTTCCAGAAAATCGAAGAGGGAACCTTCCCCCAATCCTTCAGAGGCCAGTACTACTCTGATAAGGAAACTAGGGCTTTATATGAAAACTACAGACCAGGATGTAAAAATTCTAAACAAAACTTTAGCAAACTCAATACAATATATAAAAATGTTAAGTATTATCGTGACCAAACGGAGATCATGCCGGAAACTCAGGCTGGTCTAACGTTAGAAAGTCAATTAAAGTAGTCGATCACGGGACTCTCCCAGCAACAGATCTCTGCCCCACCCACGACGGGATGGGGCCGGCGCCGTCAGTCAGCCACCAGGGGCGGGCCGGGCCCGGGCACCGGTGTCACACCCGCGACACCCGGCTTCCGTCCGCGCGCCTCCTCCCCGCCGCGGCCGGCGGCTGGCAGCGGGGCGCCCAGACCACAATGCCCCGGGCCTCGCCGTGGCCCCGCCTCCGCCCGCCGGCCCCGCCCCGCGCGCCGAGTCGGCAGCCTCTGATTGGGGGCTGCGGCTTCCGCTCCCCCGATGGGCAGGTTCTCGAGCCCGGTGGCGGCGTGGGTGATCCGGAGGCCCCGGCAGGCATGGGGGAGGCCCGGACTGGCACGCGCGCGCCGGCTGGTGGGCTAGCTCCCGCAGGGCTGCCCATGCCGGAAGCCGGCGTGGAGGCGGAGGTGGCGAAGCTGCTGCCTTTCCTGGCGCCCGGGGCGCGGGCGGACCTGCAGGCGGAGGCGGTGCGGCACGTGCTGGCGCTGACCGGCTCTGGGCCCGGTGGGGCGCTGCTGGCCGGCCAGGCGGCGCTGCTGCGGGCGCTCGTCGAGCTGGCTGCGGCCCCGGCCCCGGCCCCGGCCCGCGACGCCGCTCGTGCGCTCGTCAACTTGGCTGCCGAGCCCGGCCTGCACGAGCGGCTGCTGGAGGCCGAGCCCGCGCTGCCTGCCCGCCTGCTGGACCGCGCGATGGACCCAGCGTGGCCTTGGGCCGAGGAGGCGGCCGCCGCGCTGGCCAATCTCAGCCGCGAGCCGGCGCCGTGTGCCGCGCTGATGGCAGCGCTGGAGGCCGAGGAGCCGGGGGAGTCGGGCCTGGAGCGGCTGGTGCGCGCGCTGTGCACGCCCGACTACAACGCCCGGGCGCCCCTGCATTACCTGGGGCCAGTGCTCTCCAACCTCAGCCAGCGTCCCGCGGTGCGGGCCTTCCTGCTGGACCGCGAGAGGTGAAGCCCGGGGCGCCCGCGGGGAGGGGGTGCAAGTGAACAGGGATGGCACTGAGTGGTCCCTCCCTCCAGGTGCGTGGTCCAGCGGCTGCTGCCCCTTACCCAATTCTCAGACTCCTCGGTGCGCAGGGGCGGGGTGGTGGGGACTCTCCGAAACTGCTGCTTCGAGCATCGTGAGTGGTGATGGGGGTGAGGGTGTTGCGGTGGGGGGGCGGTGCTGGGGCAAAGAGACCACTTCGGGGCCCCCCTCTAGACTGGCTCCCATTTCTGTTTTCCCCTCAGGACACCACGAGTGGTTGCTTGGGCCCCAGGTGGACATTCTCCCTTTCTTGCTGCTGCCCCTGGCTGGGCCTGAGGACTTCTCTGAGGAGGAGATGGAGCGTGAGTGGCTTGGTCCATGGAGCCTCAGGGTTGGCGGGGGAGGGGGCGAAGGCCACTGGGAGGCGGGCAGATGCGCAGATCGGGACCCCTTCTGAAAGCTTCCAGCAGGGAGATGCTGAGCACAGAGGGGGCTTACCAAGGAGGGTCTGGCCTAGCTACCCCGTGCTGGCACGCAGTAACCCCACATGTACCTCTAGGGCTGCCTGTTGACCTACAGTATCTGCCGCCAGACAAGCAACGAGAGCCTGATGCTGACATCCGCAAGATGCTCCTCGAGGCCATCATGCTGGTGAGTAGGGGTCCTGCTATGCTAACGCCACTTTGCAACATGCCCACACTGATACCTGTGTAACCTTTGCCCTCTTCCAGCTAACAGCCACAGCATCTGGTCGGCAGCAGGTGAGAAACCAGGGAGCCTACCTGATCCTGCGTGAGCTACACAGCTGGGAGCCAGAGCCCGACGTGCAGGTGACTTGTGAGAAGCTCATTCAGGTGGGTGCAGGGCTTGCGGGGAAGGGGAGTGGATGTCTGTGGTGTGCCAGCCAGGTGCTCACCTGCCTCCCCTGCTGGCAGGTGCTCATTGGGGATGAGCCAGAGCCGGGCATGGAAAACCTGCTGGAGGTGCAGGTGCCTGAGGATGTGGAGAGGCAGCTGCAGCAGCTGGACCACCAGGAGCTGGAGCAGCACACCCGGGCGCAGCCGGAGGAGCTGGCCCCAGAACCACAAGCAGAGGGGGCTACACCCACCTGAGGCCCTTGCAACCCGCCACCGGCTCCAGGCCCACCTTTGCCAGCCCGTCACTCCAGGCCTTCCTGCAGCCACCTGCAGGCCTCTGAGTCTCCCTGCTCAGAGGTTGTTCCCTGCTGAAAAGCACAGCTACACTTAGGCTCAGGGTGAGGTGTCTAGGGCGAATGCTCAGTACACGTGCGAGGGTCGGGGTACTTCCTCATGCCCTGTTGCTTCTGGCAACTCGGGTTGCTCAGACCAGCACTGGTCAGCCAAAGCTAGTCACACCCTCTGATCCTCAGGGACGTACCTCTAGGAAGATGGCTGATGGGGCTGGACAGATAAACCGTACAAGCCTGAGCAGCCCCCGAGGGCACTACAGAGGTCTGGGCATCGGTGGGCATCCAGGTGCAAGCAGTGCCCTTTGCTGCCAGTCCCACCCGAGTCTTCAGTCCTGGGGTCCTCGGCTTGCCCTGCCTGAGATCCAGCCTCAGAGGACTGACCTCTTGTGACTCACCAGCCTCAGCCTGTCCTGGGATCTCCTAGGGCTGCGCCTCCCTGGTTTGTCCTTGAAGTGCTTGCTGGGTACTGTCTCTCTTCATCCCCTCCCCCATCCTGCTCAGTCCCTTGCTAGTTTCTCCAGCCCGGGACTGATGTGATGCGCTCGCTGTCCCCACTAACTCGGCTCTATCCTTGGTCAGTTTCCTTGAGTTTCAGAGCCCCTTGGCTCACACACGGAGCGTCTTCCTCATGTGCCTCTGCAGCCTTGCTCTTTGCCAGACCTTTTCCCTTACCACCCTCTGCCCCCGTGAAGCCCCCTTTGGGCCCAAGAAACTTGTTTTCCCCCAGCCCCTTGTGTGGGCCCTCTGTTCTGCAGCTGCCAAGCCAAGCCTGGTAGGCTGTCCGCATGGCCCTCCCCGCACTGTGCTCCCTTCTTGGTGCCATCTTTGGCACAGGACTCCCTTGCCCTCTGGCACTGGAGTGCAGCCTGACGCCCTGGCTTCCCAGCACACCCTCACTCCACATGTCCTCAGTCCTGTCACTGCCTCCAAAGCCAGAGGTCCACTCCAGTTCCACCAAGGCTGGGTGCCTCATGGAAACGAGGTATTTCCTGTCTCTGTGGTACCCCCTGTGTTTCCCTCCTCCCGAGTAAAGCTCTGGCATGGAGGCACGTGGACTCGCGTTCTCCCTGGATGGGGACTGCTAGTGGGTTCCCCGTGGCTGGCTGCCCTGGCCTGCACTGAGACGGCAGCATCCCCTCCATAAAATAAATGCTTTATCTGGCCTCGCCTGGGCCTACTCCTCAGTTGACCGGGAAGTGCCCAGGCATGGTCCTGGTGGCAAACGTGGAGCTCGGTGACAGTGGCTACCTGGAGGCGCCCCCACCCCCAGGCTGGCTGCCGCCATGTTCCGGAGCCCCAGCTGGGCAGATCCTGCACCTCTTCTTGGGATTGCCTCTGGGGGCTCAGGCACCGGGCCAGAAGCACTCTCGCGGTGAGTTCCCCCCTGCTGAGGGCGCCGCAGCTTCAGGAGCGGCCTTGGATGCTCTGAGTCTCTGCCAGGCTCCGTGTGGTCAAGGGTTGCGGGCAGCTGGGACTTAGCTGGCTTCTCTGCAACTGACAGCCGTGGGGATCAGGAGGGGCACTGAGGGGGCAACCACCTGCCCTCCCCACTGGGGGCCCCACTTTACCTGGTGCCGAGCTGAGCATGGTGCAGAACAGCGCCTGCGCGGCGGGCAGCATCCAGCAGTGGGTGGCCACCTGCTGCAGGTCCAGGCGTGCACACGGGCGTAGCTGTAGCAGGCCCCGGATCAGGTCCTGGCACTCTGTGGGCAAGGGCTCCCAGCTGTGGCTTCCCACTGCCTACCCTCTTGTGCGTGCCCATCACTGTCAGTGGTGCTGGCAGTTTGGAGGAGGAACCCCATTCAGTCGCCCAAACGCCTGGAGGGAGTCCGTGCTTCACCAGTCACGAGACTGAGGTGCATTGAGGCGCAGAGAGAGGGAAGGCGGCTTCCCTGTGCCAGCGCGGAGCTCAGAGCTCACCGGGACCACTGCCTGTCCAGACAAGGAGTCAGTCTGGACCTCCCCCAGGCCCGCTGCCCTCTCACCTCTTTGCTACAGTCCGTTTACCGGCCTGGATTGGGAGGGGGGTGCCAGGTCAGCCTCCCGTGCCACTGCCACTCCCCTCACCGCAGGATGACCCTTCTCTGGGCCCAGGTCTCTCTCTCTTTAAGATCTTACTTACTTGAGAGAGAGGGAGAGGGAGAAGCAGACTCCCTGCTGAGCCAGGAGCCTGACTCAAGGCTCCATCCCAGGACCCTGGGGTCATGACCTGAGCCAAAGGCAGACGCTCAACCGACTGAGCCACCCAGGCGCCCCTGGGCCCAGGTCTCTTGCTGCCCCACTTTCCAGGCTCATGCTGGGACTTGGGAGGGACACAGGGTGTTCTCTCTCACCTGGGGACGTGCCTGGCCTGAAGGTGGGGCCGAGGCGCATCAGGTGCAGCCTGCAGTGGGGCTGGTGGTCCTTGAAGGGCAGCTTCCCAGTCACCATGGCATAAAGCTCCACAGGTCGGCCTGCTCCCCATTGTACTTGCTCATGAGGATCTCGGGAGCTGTGTAGGCCACAGAGCCGCAGAAGGTGCTCAGCAGCGAATTCTTGAGGCCCAACCGGTTGGCGAAGCCAAAGTCTGCCAGGGGCGCACAGAGGGGCACGGGCAAGCAGCAGACCATGGAAGGAGCAGGAGGGGAAGGGACAGTGGGCTCGGGAGGGCTGGCTGCGGGCAGATGCGGAGTGTGTAGGAGTCTGCAAGCACAGGTGTAGGCAAGCATGGGGCTGGGCCTCCTGGGAGGGTTAAAGGTCAAGCCAGGTAGGCGTCAAACCCTGAAGCTGGCAGGGAGCCTGGTGGCTCAGCCGAGCGGCCCACTCTTGGTTTTGGCTCAGGTCAGGATCTCAGGGTCCTGGGATGGAGCCCCACCTCTGCGTCTGGCTCCGCGCTCAGCAGGGAGCCTGCTTCAGGATTCTCCCTCTCCCTCTGCCCCTCCTCTCTCTCTCTCAAATGAATAAATGGGTCTTTAAAGCAATCAAAGAAGAAAGTCTGAAGCAGGCAAGGGTAGAGGCTAGGGTCCTGGCTGGGACAACAGTTGAAAATGGCTGGGCCTCGTGAAGAAGTTGAAGGCTGGGGTCAGGAGTCAGGGAGTCCAGGGCAGGGGGTGGGGCTGGGCCACAGGCTCACCGGTCAGCTTTAGGAGGCCTTGGTCATCCAGCAGGATGTTCTCACACTTGAGATCCCTGCATGGGAAAGGGAAGTGGTGCTGGTCCCAGGCTCAGGTGGGCCTCTTGCTGCAGGTGGGGGCAGGCGGGCAGCCCCCTCACCGGTGCACGATGCCTGAGCTGTGGCAGTGGGCCACAGCACTGACCAACTGCCAGAACAGCCTACGGGCCGCCTCCTCTCCCAGCCCCAGGCGGCAGCGGTGGTCCGACACTGCGTTGATGTGTTCCAGTAGGTCACTGCAGGCTGCCAACTCCAGCACCAAGTAGGAGCGCTGGCTATTCTGGTAGGTCTCATAGAGCTGCACCTGCCGGAGCCCCCCCCCCCCCCGCTATCACCCAAGGAGGGGCTGTCCAGTGCATTGGATCAAGGTCTCAGGATGGGGCTGGGCCTAAGCATAAGGGTCCCTGGTGGGAAAGGGGGTGGTCCTGCACAGCAGGGGATGGGCAGGATGGGCATGGGCTGTTGCAGGGCCTCTGCCTCCCACATTCAGGTGCTTGTAGGTAGCACGGAGTGACGATATCTCACGAGGCAGAAACTTTTGGGAGAACTCCACCGGGGCCTCGGCAGTGGAGATGATCTTGATAGCCACCTGTAAGGGTGGAGGGTGGCCCTTGTGTGCAGACCACAGCCCCTGAAGGGGGGACATGGAGGGCCCCATGTCCTTTGTGCACATTGCTGAACTTGACTGGAGTAAGGCTGGGAAGCAGCATCCTTGGGGGTCTATACTGACCCTCCCCTTCCTTCCTTGGCCCTGATATGCTCAAGGGGTTCTGGAGCTAGGGGTGGCCAGCTTCCAGGTCCTTGGGAGGATACCAGACCAGGAGGGAGCCAGAACAGCAGGGAGGTACCTCAGTGGGGTTAGGACAGGGACCACTGGGGCTGGGCTGAAGGGCAGCCCACGGAGCCTGCCGTCTGCCACCCAAGGGGAAGAGATGGGCCTGCCTTACCGTGGCATGGTGCTTGCCCCGCAGGTCGGAGGCCAGCTTGGGGTTGTGCTGCATGCGCTCATGTGTGGCATAGGCCAGGTAGACTTTGGAAAAGGCCCCAGAACCAATCTCCTGGAAGAGAGCAGGTAACCGTTGTCCCTGCATTCACGCACCTGTTCCATGAAGTTTTGCTGGTCCAGCTTCCGCCTGGCACTGCCCTTCGTGGAGGGCAGGGTGGTCCAGCTCACTGCAGGGCCTCGGGTAGGAGGAGCAGGGTTAGGGCTGAGGCCTGACGTGTCAGAAGGGCTAGGACAACAGGGCGAGAGGCGGCTGGTGGGCCCTGTGCCCCTTGAGGCTGCACCCAAATTTCTGAAGTCTTTCTGGGACCGGGGCAGAGGCAAGGGAGTGACCAGGGCTGAGAGCTCGGGGTGGGAAGCTAACAAAACCATGGACTGGTGTGGGTCAAGGCAGGCTCTGGGAAAGCAAGGGCAGATTCCAGAATGGAGGGTTCTAGAGCTGCCCCTGCATTGTGCCCTCAAAGGGGGGGTGTTCTGTCCCCAGGGCCTACCTTCTCTGAGAACATCTTGCTGGAACCAGCCCCGCCCTGCGTGGGGCCCAGTCTCAGTGGGGTGAGAATCCCCAAGGCAGGGTGAGGCCTTATGTGACTGCCCACAAAAGACCTTTAAAGAAGTTTGTGGGGAGGGTGAGCGAGGGAAGGTAGGCAGGGTTTCTAAGGATATAAAGAAGGGGAAAGGCAACTCAACATGTGCTAGAACTGTTTCAGCTGAGCCCTTCCTCCTTTTCTTGGGTAGCAAGGTGGCAGCCAGGTGTGCTGCAATAGAAGCTGAGCCAGAAGAAGGGCATGGGGGCGGGAGCTACCTGACTCCTCGGCTGTGGCCTAGAAGCTTCTGTCCAGGCCAAGGGACGCTGCAGGAGGCCTTGCACCCAAAGCTTTCCTCAGACTTGATGACACATCCCCAAGGCAAGCAAGGGCCCCCAGTCTGGGCTGTAGGCAAGGGAAGCCAGCATGGCCCCTCACTTCTCCTGGCCTCCAGAGCCTTCTGGGAGCACTGTTGCCACAGGGGGTAGCAGCTAACGTTAATGAGCATCTGCTGTGTGGCAGGCACTGTTCTAAGGAGTCACAGGAACTGCTGATGGCCACCTCCCTTAGTCCCTGCCTCCTGTCTTCCGACCATGCCTGACGCACCCATCCCATAGTAGGCGTTCACACCCTTGTGTTTAATGTTCCCTTGTTCGCTCACTGCCCTTGTTTGTCAAATTGCCTGGGATATAGAAAATATGGTCAGACTTTGTTCATTGCTGATGTGCAGGTTAGAGAAGAGAAACCTCCGGATCTCAGGTGTTAGGGGGCTGGAGCAGCAAAGGGGAAAATCGTGTGGCTCTGGCCAGGGGTGTCTGTGCCTCCCAGGTGCTGCTGTGGAGCCTGGGAACCATGTCGGCTGTCACCTTCCCAGCTCCCACCAGTGCCAGAACACAACTGGAAGCCAGTGAGAATCGTGAGGAGACAGGCAGGACCCAGAACGGTCAACAGCTCTGTCCACCCTCCCTTTGCAAAGTCTTTTGTGCCCTCCTCCTTCACTGCTTTCTTGGTCATCCAACCATTCTATGAGATGCATTGAGCACCCATCATGTGCTGCGCTTGGTGCTGAGCACTTGGGAGCAAGTCACAGACATGGGCCTTTTTCTCCTAGAGCTTACAGTTACAGACAGGAGATTGGCATCAGTAATGTAATAAAGCAAAATGAAAGCTGTATGTTTGCTGGGGCAGTTTGTGCCCTTGGGGAGTAAAGTCTGGCTGAGGCTGGGGAGGGGGCAGAGCCAGTGGGCCATGCTGGGCACTGGCCATGTCCGGAGGCAGGGCTTGGGCAGGAAAGTGAATCCTCCAGATGGGAGCTTCGAAAAGGCCTGCCTCCTGCCCTAGCAACTTCTACATGCTGCATGAGAGGGTTTGGGGGGTGTTGGGGCTCCTGCCCGAGAGGCCAGGCCCCATCTGCAGAGCATCTCATGGTCAGCCTTCTGTCCGTCTTTTGGGCTCCATCCCTGCAACAGAAACGGGCTGAACCCCTTC